ATAGATATATATATATACTATATATATATATATGATATATTATATATATACTATATATATCTATATATATATATATATATATATATATATATATATAAATATATATATATATATATATATATACTATATATATATATATATATATATATATATATATATATATATATATATAATATTATATATATATATAATATATATATATATATATATCTATATATATATATATATCTATATATATATATATATCTATATATATATATATCTATATATATCTATATATATATATATATATATGTATGTATAAGTGATAATTATATACTAATATATATATATATATATATATATATATATATATATATATATATATATAGATATATATATATATATATATATATATATCTATATATATATATATATATATATATATATATATATATATATATATATATTTATATATATATATACTATATATACATATATATACTATTATTTATATAATATATATACTAGTGCTGGGCAACGATTAAATATTTTAATCGCGATTAATCGTATGATTTTTTGCGATTAATCGCGATTAATCGCAATTAATCGCAGAAATACGAAAAATTAAATATTTTATAATTAAATATTTAATAATTGAATTTAATATTTTAATCGCGATTAATCGCGATTAATCGCAGAAATACGAAAAATTTAATAATAAAACCACAAGTAGTATATATATAGCGTAAATTTATTTTTTCATAGTTAAATTAACATAACTTTTGGTTTGTCAAAACTTTAAACAATTATATCCATTCTTCCAACTTTACTTACTCATCTGCACCAAGCTAGTTACTAAGACAAACAAGGTAATTCACATTTTCAGATGATAAAGAAACTCTCTTCTTTTGTACAATATGACCAGCAAGAGAAAACAATCTTTCACAAGGAACAGATGTTGCAGGTGTTGCCAAGTACTTCTGTGCAATTGCGGCCAGCCTGTTGTGTGAGCCTGCATGTTTGGACCACCACTGTAATGGACAGGCCTCTGTACTGAAGGTGGGCTCTGCTTTGTACCAACGCACACCGTTTTCAATTGAGTCTTCCTCTTGTTCAGAATCAGACTCTGATGAAGCAACCAATAGAGCAAATTTTCTCTTTGATGGCTTTGATGTTGCTGCTTCCACAGGTTCATCTGCAATAACCCTCTGTTCCTTGAGTAAGTTAGTGATTGAGACCCACACCTCACCTCTCTTAACTCTGGGTATACACTTGAGGTCTTTGAATCTCGGGTCCAATGCGGTTGCAATCTTTAAATATGCAATGTTGGCATTTTCCTTGCGTGTTTCCAGATCTATTCTGAACATAGATTTGAATTTGACTACATAGGCCGGGTCATCATCTGAGCTCTCCATCACCTGAGAGAGATGGCATAAAGCAGGCAGAACCACAGAGCATGAAACGTACTTTTTTCCACCCAGAAGTTCAGTCACATACCTGCAAAAAATAAAACCCATTTCACTCAAATGTTTTGCATTCACTTATACACACAAAAAGTGTTCTCATGTTCATGCTTACGTACAAATACAGACACATCAATTCTCTCACATGCAATCAAACCAGTCAGTAAGAAATATATGATGTAAAATATACCTGCAGGGTTCGAGGAGCTTTTCCAACCTCTGCAATTTGTCCATTTCAGCTGGAGTTGGCATAGCGACTTTTGTGTTGTGTGTGGTGAGGACATCGCTCAGTGGCTGTTCGTTTCTGCGAACACTTTTTATCATGTCCAGAGTCGAGTTCCATCTGGTTGGAATGTCTTGTATAAGCGGCTCCTTCTTTTGTCCAAGCTCAATTTGTTTTTTTTTCTAATTCTGCAGCACTTGCTGGACTGTGTTTAAAATGAATCACCATCTTTCTGCATTTAGCCAGGGCATTGTCAAACGCGCTGTTGTACAAAGATACTGTGACAGAACGCTGAAGACTGTGAGCGACACAAGGGACGCGTTCAAAAGGCAGATGTCTTGCAGCAGCGACAATATTTCTAGCACAATCTGTGCTAAGTGTGCTGACTTTATTTAAAATGTCCCACTGCTGTGCAACATGAATGAAATGTTCTGCGCACGTTTCAGCAAAATGTCTTTCTTGTGTCTTCATTACTGTCAAAGCATGTGAATGTAGTTTCCATTGTTCATCAATGTAATGCACATTTACTCCGAGATAATTATGGTTACCCAGCGATGTCCAGTAGTCTCCGGTGAGGGCAACAGTTTGTGCACGTTGTAATGCCGTTGCCTTTATAGTCCTCTCGTTTTCATACAGTTCATGTATTTTTCTTACAATGGTGCGTCTTGGCGGAGGCTCATACGTGCAGTCATTCGTTGCGATCCGAATAACATTCTTCAAACCGACATCTTCCACAATACTAGTTAGCCTGCAATTTGTAGCTACCCACTTTGCAATGGCATTTGTTATCTTGTCTTTCTTTTGTTTCTCTGTAGTTCTCCCTCGTGCTGCATCTAACGTAGTCTGCCGAAGGTTTCCTCCACTGTTTGTTTGGGTGGATGATTTGTTAGCATCAACGGTGTGCATTGCATTTAAGTGATACTTCAAACTTGAAGTACTCCGATGATAAGAAAATTCCGCTTTGCAGTGTTTACAAATAGCTTTAGTTCTATCTACTCCTTGTTGAAGAGGTTTAAAATAAAAGTGTCCGTTTAAAATTTCAGTACCTTTTTCCATTTTTAAATATTTCTCAATTTACTTACTGCTTGTTGTTTGAGCATAAGCAATAACAAATACGCACGAAAGTTTCAATTCTTATATGATTCGATTATTATCGAATTATAAATAATTAAATTATATTTCGATTATTACATAATTTTGAAACAATACAAAGTAAATAAACAAAACTATAAATAAACATAAAAATACAAAATGCAAAATAACTTTTTTAATATATTAATACAAATAAAATTAATATAATAATAATTATAAGCAATAATAAGCAAAAAATATAAAATGAGAAACGAAAACTTTGACAGACAGTTTCACAAAAGAAAAATAAAGTTAAGCTTGTGAATCTTAAAAAAAAACGAGCGGCAGAAACTCATAATGAACTCATTGTAAAGACTAATAGGTGGAAAAAAAAATTTCATAAAAACTTAGCAAAAAAATATATTTTTTTACAATAATAAAATCTGGAGATTAATTTTTTAATTTAAATTTAATAGTTCTGTAAACTAAAGATTGACAGGTCTGTTTTGATGAATTTTGTGCAGCCCAGTCACTTTTTAGTTTAATGAACTATTAAATTTAAATTAAAAAGTTTACTTTTCACTTTTCAAACTTTCAAAATAAAAAGTTTTTAACGCGCGATAAAATTATTGTCGGCGTTAATTAATTAATGCGTTAACGCGATAATAACGCGTTAACTTGCCCAGCCCTAATATATACATATATATATATATATATATATATATATAGATATATATATATATATATATATATATATATATATATATATATATATATATATATATATATATATATATACATATATATATATATATATATATATGTATGTATAAGTGATAATTTTTAAATAAATTTAATAAATTTAATTAACTAAAATATATATATATATATATAAATCTATATATATATATATATATCTATATATATATCTATCTATTATATATATATATATATCTATATATATATATATATATATATATATATATATGTATATATATATAAATATTCATATATATATATATATCTCTATATATATTATATATATATATATATATATATATATATAGATATATATATATATATATAATATATATATATATATATATATTTATACAAACTTAATTTAGTCTGACTTATTATGTTTTATCATTTTATTATGTTTTATATGACTTATTAAAACTAAGTACTATTTCTAACTAAGAAATAAATATTCAAAAAAGTTGAGCATTTTATTAAAATCGTCAACTTAAAACAAAATAAAACATTGACAAAAATAAGCTGAATAAATCGAATTCCCCCTGAGATTTATGTACTTTATATACATTTTGATATAAAATCTAAAAGTTTTAAACTAGTCGCAATAAAATAGGCTATAAAATATAACTTTATTAAAAAAATTTTATACCATATGCATGCATTCTATCAAATTTTCCTTGCCTTTCCATTAAGGCAAATTATTTTTGTAATGGCTAGTAATTGAAACAATAATTTTCAATGTGCCACTTCCTCAACATTGTCAAAACAACGTTTTATTAACGTTGGCAAAGTAACACTTTTTCAACGTTGTTTAATTAGCACATTTTCAATCAACGTTAAAATAACGTTGAATAAGTGTTGTTTTTCAAATAGTTTAAATTCGTTGAAAAAGCAGCTAATGTCTAACGTTGATAAACCATTACCTTTGCGACGTTTTTACAGTGAATATTTCCCGGTGGGAAGCGAGCTAGCGATTAGCTAGCGACTAGCTAGCTTTATTGCGATTTTTGAGCGATTTTTTTTTTCTTATTTAATTTTTTCCTTAAGTCTTTAACATCATTGAAAATTTGATTTTTAGTGTTGGATCTATTATAATTATGAAAATAATTGAACTTATATCGCTATATATAAAATATAACATATTGCTAGCTGTATATCGCAGTTTTTTAATCAGCGATTTTATTACGATATGATACTAGATACATATCGCGTTTGTTTAGCTGACAACTAGATAGCGATATATCTATAGCTATTCGATAGCTACATATCGCAGTTTCTTAGCTATCGATTTAATTACGATTAATCGCTAGTTACGTGTCGTAGCCTTGTAGCTAGTTACAAGATAGCCACAAATCGATAGCTAGTTAATAGCAAGATATCGCATTTTTATAGACAGCGATTTTATAACGATTTATCGTTAGTTACATATCGCAGCTTAGTAGCTAGCTACAAAGTAGCCAAAAATCGATTGCTAGTTGATAGCTACGTAAAGCAGTTTTATAGAC